ATGTTTCTATAAATATTCATCAATTTAAATTAATGAAATGGTGTATCAAATAATTTTAAATTTTTAAAAAATTTTATAAAATTAATTTATGTATAAATTTTTTTTAATTTAATGATTAGATCGTTAAAATTTAATATAAAACATGAATTATTAAGTAAAGTAAGTCTAAATATATTTTTTTTATAAATTAATCTTAATAGTTTTACTTTTAAAATAAATGAATCATTGTTTATATATATAAACACTATATGTATATAGTGGTGACCTTAAGCATAAGCTAGTGAGAGACCGCTTGAGACCCATTATTGGGGTACCAAAATAAATGTTATTTAGTATATCTAATATAAAAAATTACAAAATTAAATTATATAAAAATGTATTAGAGACAATAAATTATTTGTGAATAATTTATTAATAATTATTTTTATTACTAGTTAACAAAAATCTACTCATAATTTTACAAAAATAAGTTAACAATATTCAATGTAAAGAATAAAATGTGATATATATTATTAGCTTAATTTTTTTTTCTTGGTGTGATCTATTATAAGTGTTAATGTAAAATCATAAACAAGGTTGTCTTTAATTTTTCACTCTCTTTTTTATCTCTAATTTTTTTTAATTTTCTTTATAGTTTTTACATTGTGACTTATTTTAATTTGCTAAAATCAAATTGTGAACTTACTCTTCTCCATTGCGAGTTTTTTTCTTAAATGTGTTACCATTGTTTATTAATTTTTCAATGCGTAGTGGTATTTATGAATTACTTATAGAATCGCACGAATATATTGCACGTTTAATATTTTTTAACAATTATTTTTTTCTTTTTTTGTGTGTTTTTATCCTTTTTGAGATAATTATAAGGACATGGTTATAATTCTTCAAAATATTTCAAATTATTAATTTTGATTGTTATAACAACTTAATACGTTTTTGTTTTTATATCTATCAAAATGACGTGATTTCAATTCTTCATTAAAGACAAATTTTTTTGTATATTTTAAATAAATAAAAGAAATAAAACATATATTAAATTTTATATGAAATAAAACTAATATTTTAAAATATTTTGAGACATTAAAATATATTTTAATCTAGAATAAATTATTTAAAATGTGAGTTTAATTTTAACTCGTGTTTTTATCTATATAATGAATCGATTCTGCTGAAGTAAGTTATTTTAAAGAATAAAATAAAATAAAAATTAATTACATATAAAAAAGAATTAATAGTTGAATTGAATGTAAGATTTAGCTCTTTTGAAAAATAAAATAAATAATTCTAATCATTTATAAAAAATAAAAAAAATTTAACTCATTCATAATTTGTTATATATATAATGTTAACTATCGACTTTATTAACAATTAGTACCGAAAAAAATACTACATGTGTCCATAAAATATTTTTAATAAAGGAATTTTTGAGAAAAAGTTATTTTTCTTTAAATATAAAATAAGAGTATAGATATTTTTGAAAAAGTGGACACTGAATAAGTGTACCTCTGTTATATATTATTGTAGGTACTGAAGTTTTTTTATTTTACTTTTTAATTAACTTGTTCTTTTTGAAAGAGGCGAATATTATATATACGTATATTAAAAAAGTCATATGTTGAAATTTCAAATTCATAAGTCTATCAAAAGTTTTTATATTAAATTAGTCTTTCTGAAATAAAATATGTTGGTCGATCTTTATTTACTAAAACATATGTGCAAGTTTAATCTCTTTAAAAGTATAAATAAACAATTAATTTCATTCTTTAAGCATCATTCTCTTTTCTAAATAGTTTTTAAAATAAAAAAAATTATATAATTATTTTTCAAGAATTAAAATATTTCAAATAAAATATATCAACATAATGATGAAATTGATAAATATAATTTTACTAGTTTAATAGACTATTTAAGAGAAAATACGATACTTAATAACTAAATGAACAGTTTTCTCATTTAAGAATGTATAGAAGATGGATACTAATGATAATGATGATGAGCTCTTTATTTTCCTACCTCACCCTTTTATTACAGGACAAGCATACATAAATGATAAATTCTACTTTTCATTAACGGTTCCAATTATATTCACATACGTACCAAACACACTCTTGAATCTTGATCTTTATTACCAACCTCCAATTGACTTCGTCCAACGTTCGCTTTGGTAATGGTTGGTAGTAAGCAGCAACTTTTCCATTAACTGTTCATTTAGCAAGCTAGATGGGCCAACGTTTCCAGTTTAACGTCTGTTTGGTAATGGCAAACAATGATGCCACATTCACATTGAAATTTAAGTCAAACAATCCGTGTGCAAATCATAATAATAGGTCTACACATAAAAATTTTCCACGACAATAAGATGGAACGCAAGAAAAAATTCATGCTCTAAAAGAATTATGAATGATGAGACATTACTATGAACCCGAATTAAAATTAGAATTTGCTATGAAAGTGGTACGAAGCCTTGAGAATAATTACACTTCCATATCGAAGTGCCAATGGCTCTTATAATTATTTCAGTGATGTTTTCATTGGACTTTTATCATACATCTTTCAGGCCCCATGCCATATCTGATATGAACGTGTGGCCAAAACTGGTTCTTCAATGTGAAGGCCCGGAAAATGTGGCAACACTTCCATTAGGCATTATTAAAACTTGGCCAATGATAACAACTTTGATCTTATGAAGAAAAATTATTATTTTATTTAACCTAAGATGTTGTGAACGATTAATTTGATCGCTGTACATGTTTAGATAAAATTAATGATGAAAGCATGGTCTAAAAAACAAAATTAATGATGAAAGCAAGAGTTTAATGTTTAATTGTTCATCCCATTTTATATAAAAGCTACATCAACCTGCTTTGTGTGTGCTAAAGATTCAAACGCCTGGTGTCTCTGGTTTATTTGTTTGGTTGTTCAGTTCTTGAGTGGTTATTAACTCTTATTATCGAACTCTATCACTCATAATGTTACATGTCATCACCAAGATAACTCAAAACCCCCTCCTTTTACTTTTCCTTTTTTTCTCGGTTGAAGTACATGAAAGTGAGTAAAAGAGAAAAAAGAGTGGAGAAAGTTACCCAAAAGTGATAGATACTTAACCGTGTTTTAAGGGATACGTTTTTGGGGTCTGATATGATCTAACTTTATCATTTATTCAATTTGATTCTAAATTTAAGTAAATAATAATTTAAATTAGATCCATTTTTGATATTTTTTAATACCAAATATCTCATCTTATAAATTAATTATTACACCCTTAAATTTAGTTTAAAACTAAAATTTTAAGTTGTATAACTCAAAAAACAAGAGATAAAAATATTGAAACCAAATTATAATTAATTATTTTATAAGATATATTGTAATAATAAAACTTAATTCTTAATGCATCATTTGCATTTTATTTATGTATATTTCGTACCATTTTGTATTTCATTTATATCCTATTTGAAACTTCTTTTTTAATTATGTAATATTTTACTCTCCTATTTTATTTGAGTTAATTACCTATGCATTATCAGTGTAAAATTTTTTTACATTGACAATCAATTATATCTTTTAATAATGACATAAAGATATGATTGGTTGCCAGTGTAAAAAACTTTACACTGGCAATATAGGGATGATTAACTCATTTTACTTATTCGTAAGTTTAATTGTGTAATAATTTATTCAACAATGATAAACTTATTTATTTTATATTATGAAGTAAAAATGACGTCCGAAAGTTAAATTTCACAAATATATAAAATAAAAATTCAACCAAGAGTAATAAAAATCTTTAAGACCAAAACATACAGACAGAGTCGTGTGTAACAATAGACCAATACCAAACCGTAAGGCTAATGATATATACACCTCCATTTTTTTATACATACATTTTCTTTTTAAAAAAAAATATTAAATTTCTAAATTATCCTTAATATTATTTGAAATAGAAAAAAAAAGTTATCCTGAAATTTTTTTTTCAGAAGTGTATTTGTACATAATTATGGAAAGTTCTTTCCGGAATACTAAAATTACTATTCCGGAAATATCTTTCTGTCGGAATAATTCTAGAAAGTACTTTCCGTAACACTAAAATTACTATTGCAGAAAGTTCTTTCCGGAATTATGGTAATAAATACACACACTGTTAATATTCCAGAAAGAATTTTTCGCAATAGTAATTCTAGTGTTACGGAAAGTATTTTCCATAATTATTTTGACGGAAAGTTATTTCCGAAATAGTAATTTTAGTATTCTGAAAAGTACTTTCCGTAATTATTCTGACATAAAGTTCTTTTCGGAAGGCTCATGATATATACACCTCCTTTTTTTTATAAGTACACTTTCTTTATTTTTTTTTAAAAATTATAAAATATTATATATATATATATATATTTTTTTTAATTTTATACCTTTAACTTTCAATTTTCTACTCTTTTCTTTTTTTTCACACACTTTTTTTTTCTCTTTCAATTTTTACATTCTACCAAAATAGGTAGGGTGAAGAAAAGATAACGGGGTGCATGTAAAAATTGAAAAAAGAAAAAATGAAGAAAAAAGAAAGATCTGTAAAAAAAAGTACTAAATTAAATGTTGTGAATATAAAATTAAAAAAAAATTAAGAATATTTTAAAATTTTAATTATTTTTTTGAAAAGGAGGTGTACTTATAGGAAAAAGAAGGTGTATACATCATCAACCAATCTGCAAACACAGACCGAGCAAGTATTATCAACACCTTGGGTTGAAATGTCCTCTTCCAGTAGATAGGTTCACCAACCATACCCATAAGCCCAATGTGTTTTCCTCTGGGCTTTATTTGCGTATTGGATGACCCAAAATCAAACTGGGCCCAAATTATTTTTGGTTCAGTGAACCTCATATCTTAGGATGATGATATATACACCTCTTTTTTTTTAAAAAAAAAAAATTAAATTCTTAAAATGTCCTTAATTTTTAAATTTTATGAAAGCGAGAATGAGTGAGTATTATTTATTAGGCCCGTTCCGTGAGTTTAATAAATGTGGTGTGAGGGATGAAGACAGAGTTGGCGGGGTCCATTGTCCATCGAAGAAACTTCCCTTTGGTTGAAATTGAAAAGCCAGGGAAGAGGCAGTAACAGATCTGATTCCCGTTTTCACAATCCATGGCTGGTTTTAGCGGCGATGAAACTGCCCCCTTCTTCGGCTTCCTCGGTGCGGCCGCCGCCCTCGTCTTCTCCTGCATGGGGGCGGCGTACGGCACTGCCAAGAGCGGAGTTGGCGTCGCGTCCATGGGCGTCATGAGGCCGGAGCTCGTCATGAAATCCATCGTGCCGGTTGTCATGGCCGGAGTCTTAGGTATCTACGGCCTGATCATCGCCGTCATTATCAGCACCGGCATTAACCCTAAGGCCAAATCCTATTACCTCTTCGACGGCTACGCTCACCTCTCTTCTGGCCTCGCTTGCGGTCTCGCCGGTCTCTCCGCTGGCATGGCCATTGGCATTGTCGGCGACGCCGGTGTTAGGTATCCATTTTCTTGACATGTCCTTTTGCCTTTGCGATTCTACAACTTAGTTACGTAATGATTTATGTATTGCATTGCTGGAGATTTCTACCTTGTTATGGTGTTTGCAAACTTGATGTTGGTTAATTGCGAGTTTGAAATGAAGTGATGTATGTTCCAAAACTTCAGAGTGAGTTTGGTAGAGTTTCGTTTATAGCTTATTTGGTCTTATCTGATGGCATAAGCGCCTGTTATGTGTTTGAAATAGCTTATGATTTGTTAATATGTTGTTTTCTACTTATTTTAGTTACTCTCCAGGATGGCTTATAAAAACAATTTGAACTTGCACCTTATATGAGAACAATGTAACTCAATTTCTCTTTGATTATAGAAATAACTTGTGCATGAGTGTTTATATGATGTAAGTTTATTCAATGAGCAACTTAATTAAGCATCTATTCTCAACCCAAGGAAAAGCTACTTTTTGTTCTGTTTCTTGCTTCTCCAGTCTAACATGCTTTTTGGAGCAAAAATCACTTTTAACAAAAGATAGACAAATTTTTACAGTAAATTTGTGTTTCTGTTCCTAAACATGATTGTGAGGCCTTGAGACATGTGTCCAAACATGCTGGTAGTTAGTTTGGACTACAACAAACATTTTTATTGGTAGAATTGATTTTCAATTTATTCTGCGTGGTTGCACGTCTACAATAAAGAAACAGCTCTTATGACCTGGTTAACCTCTTTGGCAGCATGTAGGATATATTCTTCAGTATTTGAACTATTGTTAATTGAATTGAAACTTGAGACTTCCTCAATTGTCTAATGCTAGTATCACTTCTGCTGTTACTGCTTTCAATATTTTGACGCTATGTTCACTGTGATTGTTTAACTCTGACCAGATAAATGCGTTAATCTCTATTTTAATTTATTGAATTTGACATGCTGAAAATGGGTTTTTTTTTTGTAGAGCAAATGCCCAACAGCCAAAGCTTTTCGTTGGGATGATTCTCATTCTCATCTTTGCTGAGGCATTGGCGTTGTATGGTCTCATTGTTGGCATCATCCTCTCTTCCCGCGCTGGCCAATCCAGAGCTGATTAATGTAGACTTCCCTGTTTCTTATAGCGCACAGAACCATGGATGGTGAATGTCGCCATGGACTAGGGCTTGGTAAGAGTGTAGCTTTGTGATGCTCTTCATTCGCCTCGTGACTCTTATCTACTTGTCATGAAGTTGAGGTTATCCCGAAATAAAGCGTCTCAAACGATTTCTTTAGCCATTTATTGTATTTAATTATGTTGAGTCCAGACTAGATTAGAGTTCTCTATAATAAAACATGCTGTATGTTTGTGATTATTTATTTCAATAATGTCTAGTATTGTGTCGTGTACAATTCAACACTTCACCCTCCCCAAGACCTCCTTTTTTTTTGTTATATTTAGGTGCCAAATGTCAATCTGATTTCTTTTATAACGATTTTCAACATCATGGACCATTTCATTTCTTACTGATGAGTGACTCAATAATTCGTGTAAGTCATGGATAGAATTGTAAATAAATAAATAGTTCGGTTTATGTCGTTCTGTAAAAGGGTGGCTTGTTACGCAAAATACATTTAAGGAGTGATCCAAGATTAGGTTGGGTCGGATTTGAAGAGAAAAAAGTATGACCGAGTTTGAGTGTCAAAATTATTAACCAATTTAATATGGACTAATCAAGGGAAACTGAGGTTGGATCAGGTTAGGACTATGTGTTGGTGCATATTAATTTTAAGAAATTTAAAGCTCCTATGCTTGGTTAGCATGAAACAAAAAGAATGGGAAAAAATGAGAAAAGTTCAGGTTCCCTTGTTCGGTTTTGCTCGTAGAAGTGAAGGAAAATGGGTGCATATTATCTTTCCCTTGTTCCCTGGTACGAAAAATGTTTGTGCCCAAATCGGGAAGAAAGAGGTAAGAGGTCATGGATTTTGTTATGATAAAACATATTTACCCCTTGACTTGTACAGAAATCAGTTTCGCAAGCTTTGCATTGGCAAAGTAGCATGCATCAGTTTCTCTTCTCTCACTTTCATCAGTCAAACATGGAAAGATAAAATCTGTTTTTTTTATAATATATATATATATATATATATATATATA